AACAACAGTGGCCACAACATCTACACCTGCTCCAAGCACAACAACAGTTGCTCTGACTACAACAAATACTGCTTCAACAGTGACTCCAACTACGATCACTGCTGCTTCAACCACAACAGCAACTACATCAACCACAGTTGCTAGACCTACATCCACCGCTGCTCCAACCACAACAACAGCTGCTACAACCACGTCCACTCCTACTCCAACCACAACAACAGTGGCCACAACGACATCTACGGCTTTACCAACCACAACAGTCGCTCCGACAACAACAACAGTTTCAACAACGAGTCCAACATCAAGCACTGCTGCTATAACTACAACTGCAAGTACAACATCAACCACAGCTGCTACAACCACATCCACAGCTGCTCCAACCACAGCAATAGCTGCTATTTCTACAACCACTACTGCTACAACCCCAACCACAATTACCCCAACGACAACAACAGCTGTTCCAACCACAACCAGGGATTGGTCAACCGCCACTAAAACCCCCCAAATCACAACAACAGTGGCCACAACATCTACACCTGCTCCAAGCACAACAACAGTTGCTCTGACTACAACAAATACTGCTTCAACAGTGACTCCAACTACGAGCACTGCTGCTTCAACCACAACAGCAACTACATCATCAAGCACAGTTGCTAGACCTACATCCACAGCTGCTCCAACCACAACAACAGCTGCAACAACCATGTCCACATCAGCCAGCACCACAACAACAGTCTTTCCAGCCAAAACAACGGCTTCAACAACTCCATCAATGATCACAGCTTCTACAACCACGTCCACATCTGCTCCATCCACAACCACAGTCGCTTCAACCACAACTGCAACTAAAACATCCTCCCCAACTAGTACAACAACAACAACAACAACAAAAGCTACTACAATGACTACAGTTATTCCAACCACAGCAACAACTGCTATTACAACGACCATAACTGCTACAACCCCAACCACAGCTGTGACAACAACAGCTACAGCTGTTCCAACCACAACCACAGATTGGTCAACCGCAATTACAACTGCCCCAAGCACAACCACAACTGTTCCAACCACAACCACATCTGCTTCAACTACAACAACAGTGGCTCCAACCACAACCACAGCTGTTCTATCCACAACCAGAAATTGGCAAACCACAACTACACCTGCCCCAACCACAACAACAATGGCCACAACAGCAACCACAGCAGCTCCAACAAAAAGTATATCTTCTCCATCAACAACAATGGCTACAACAACGACCACAGCTGATCTAGCGACAGCCACTGCTGCTCCAACCACAACAACTGCTGCAGCAATGACCACAAATGCTTCACCCACGACAACAAGAAGCGTTACAACAACCACATCTGCTCCAACAACTACTAAAGTCACCCAAAACACAACAGGTGGTACAACAACCTTCACGTCTCCTCTCAAAACAATCTTTAATTTTTTGACAAGCAAAGCTACCACAACCACCACCGCTTTCCCAAAAGAAGTTGAAGTAAAGCCAATTGTGTTTGCCACGACAACAATCACTGCTACAAAATTCACAACAAAAGTTACCACAACCAAAGATGTCCTATCAACAACAACCACAGCTACTCCAACCACAAGAACAACAGCAACTGGTGCACCAACATCCACACATGCCCCTACAACAACCACATTTGCTCCAACATCAAAGACAGATGCTACAACAGGAGTCACAGTGGCTTCTTCATCCTCTGTCATCCACCAAACAAGCTTTTTGTTAGTCATAGCAGTAGTTACAGCAGTTGTTTGGATTTAAGAACTTGTTATTTGACCTTGCTATTTAACAGTAAGAAGTTTTTTTTCAGTGTTTTCACTTTATATATAGTTTGATGACAGTCTAAAATCGTACATTATTCCTCTTTTATTCTGTATCTGTACCTTTATTTACTCAAAGCTGCTTTTGAACCTGCAACAAACCTAACTCTTAAATATTATATGCACTCTTTTCTCATTTTTGAAATACCAACACAGAAACAATTTAGGTCTTCTGTGGCCACCAGATAAACAAATGATAATCGCAGCACATTAAAATAGATTTTGAATAAATTATGGTGATATAGTGCTTTTGTTTTATTTGTAATGTCTCATTTTCATTTTCCTGTAATGCTAAAAGAAATTCACCACTGATTGATTAAAGTGTATTTTGAAGTAATCAATAAAGAATCAAATGCAATGACCCTGAGTATATTTTTGGTTTGATTGCTGTTCCAGCTTGATGTGATTGCTAACTTATCTTTTAAGCTCAAGACGACTTAAATAGTTTCAAGTGTTAAAATATCAAAATATAATGGCAAATACACCCTCTTCATGGACAAGAACATGTGACTGAGGCATAAAAGTGACAATTCGATTCAGAGTGGATCATCACTGTTCATCTTTGGTTTAGCACTGTGGCTCTGCAGCCTGAGAGCACTTTAAAACTATATGATGGACATGTTTCACAATGAGTCAGATTTTTAGTGACATGACTGCCAACACAAATATGCTGCTGCTGTATGAAACCTAAAAAAGACACGTCAATTTAAACAAAATTACCAATGTCAGCATGGAAATGTTGTCCCACAACCACTGCCTACTAAGTTTATGACAGTTAAATCATAACTACCATAACAACAACCACAGTTGCTCCAGCAAGCACCCCTACATGGACTGCATCTTTACATCATCATCATGATAGATAGATAGATAGATAGATAGATAGATAGATAGATAGATAGATAGATAGATAGATAAATAGATGATAGATAGATAGATAGATAGATAGATAGATAGATAGATAGATAGATAGATAGATAGATAATAAACTTTATTTATTTATATAGCACTTTTCAAAACACAGTTACAAAGTGCTGTACAGATTCAAAGAGAAGTGTAAGAGAAACAACATTAAACAACATTAAAAGAAGTAAAAAGCAAAAAATACATAAATAAATAAATTAAGAAATGGTGAAACACATAAAGCATGATAGATAGATAGACTATACAAAATTAGGCAATGAAATTAAAATTTTAAAAAAAGCAATATCTGACATTGAAACAGGTAAGTCATGCACTCAAAGCTTAGGTCTAGCTACTACAGATTTCAGATTTCAGATTTCTTTACAAATTTCTTACAAAATGTAAGGTGCAGTCCTTTCAGTGCAAAAACCAAAAATCAAAAAATTTTGTAAAACAATAAAAACTTTGTAAAACACTGTAAATAATGAGCACGGTGTATATTGCACAGAGTGGATATTGGGCAGAGGTAGTGGAGTTGTATATTTGCAATATATTGCACATTAATGTGACAGGGAGGCATTTATTGTTCTCACAGCAGTAGGAAAAAAAGCTGTTTTTCAGTCTGTTGGTCCTGGTTTTGATGGCCCTGTACCATCTGCCTGACGGCAGAAGCTCAAACAGAGAATGTCCCGGGTGGTAGGAGTCCTTCCGGATGGTGTTGGCTCTCCTGAGGCAGTAAGAGCCATGAAGGTCCTCCAGTGTGGGCAGAGGGCACCCAACACCTTCTCAGCCATTTTGGTGACCCAGAGTGCTTTCCTGTTTGCCACTGTGCTGCTGGCAAACCACGTACAGAGGCAGAAGGTGAGGATGCTCTCCATGGTGGAGCGGTAAGAGGACACAAGCAGTCTCTGGCTGATGTTCTTCTTCCTGAGGATTCTCAGGAAGTGGAGTCTTTTTTGTGCCTTATTTACCAAATGTGTGGTGTTCTTATTCCTGGTCAGTTTCTCGTCAATGTGAACTCCCACGAAGCGGAAGTCACTGACCCTTTCCACACAGGCCCCACCAATGAGAATGGGCTGAAGGTCTGTTTTGTTTCTGCTCAAGTCTATGATTAGCTCCTTCGTCTTGGATGTGTTCAGGAGCAGGTTATTGTCTCTACACCACACAGTCAGCTGTTGCACCTCATCCCGGTACGCGGACTCATCACCTCCTGTGATGCAACCTACCACTGTGGTGTCGTCCGCATACTTAATGAAGGTGTTGCTGGTGTGGATGGGGGTGCAGTCTGAGGTGTAGAGGGTGAAAAGCAGGGGGCTGAGCACGCAGCCTTGAGGGGACCCGGTGCTGCGTGTGAGGGGTGCAGAGGTGTGGGGGCCAATCCTGACCCGCTGTGGGCGTTCTGACAAAAAGTCCTTAATCCAGAGACAGGTGGAATGAGGTTCAGCAGTTTCCTCACGAGACTGTGTGGAAGGATCGTATTGAAAGCTGAACTATAATCTACAAAGAGAAGACAGGTGTAGTTTCCTGATTTCTCCAGGTGGGTCAGCGCTGTGTGTAGAGCTGTGTTCACAGCGTCCTCTGTTGACCTGTTTACCTTAGGCAAACTGGTATGGGTCCAAGCTGGGGGTTACAAAGGTCAAGATGTGACTCCTAACCAGTTTTTCGAAGCACTTCATCACCACTGGTGTGAGTGCCACTTGCCGCTAGTCGTTGAGGCTGGTTGTTGGGGGTTTCTTGGGTAGGGGGATGACAGTGGAGGTCTTCAGGCAGGATGGGACTGCAGACTTGTCAGTGACAGGTTGAAAATCTTAGTGAAGATCCCAGCGAGCTGGTCTGCACAGTCTGGTCTACAACATCTTTAAGTGACATTCACACTGCAATTCAAGTTTGTTGCTCAGGCACAACTTTTTGTTTGATTGTTCACAGTATTTGCACATTAAAGTTGCCCTTTGTCTCCTTTCTTGTTTGTGATTTTCCTGGACAGAAAACTCCGAGATGGATCTCTGCTTTATGTCAGATGATGTATTCTTCACCAAGCCCTGACCTTCATTGCCCAATGAGGCAGTTTGAAGCAGCAGGAATGGGAATCCGCACTTCCCAGTCTGGGGCCATGGTTGTCTGCTGGAAGCCAGTAAATTGGTCCCTCTGGGTTGGAGGGTGAGTTGCTGCCCAAAGCAAAAGAGTTTAAGTATCTTGGGATCTTGCTCATAAGTGGGGGGATAATGGATCATGAGCAGCTGAAAATGAATAGATGTTCACATAATTTTTAAAATGTAGCCGACCACATAACAAAACTCCAAGTTGTGGCAAACATCTAACAGACAAATAACAAAGTGAAAGAATAATTAAAATGCAATAAAATTAAAGAAGCAGCTCGTTGGACGAAAAAGAGATATTCAGATGTAATAAGCTATGGTATTAGTGGTGATTTTCATTCCAAGTCAGCATTTTCGATTTCAGAATCAAAATTTGTAGGTCTCTGACCGTTCTGATGGGGTCAGCTGCAGTTGGGCTTCATATGAAAATTGATGTGCAACTCAAGGACACCCACAGATGACTGAATCCACATTTGTGTCTTCCATGTTTGACTCCATTGAGTGACAGTGACATGAATCATATGTGCTGTGGGGCGACAAACTATTAAATGTAGCTGTAAAGCAGTTACTGTTTTAAGTCACTAGGTGGCCCTGTTGTGCTGTCTGTTTCACAGGAAACATGACAATCCACACTATTTGTCCCGTGCAGGACCCAGCAGTTCTCAGATTTTCTCTTTGTGGGAGGTCATGTTTTTTGTTTTTTTTGTTTGTTTGTTTTTTTTAACCCACAAGGTGAGCACTGTATCGGCATCCTGCGTTATATTTAGTGATAAAACCACTCATTCTGTGAAGTTTTAGGTTGTACTTAGTGATTGTAAAATATATAATTTCCATTGAGCATCTTTGGTTGTTTTGCTGCCTTTGTTTTCTTGCTTGTCTGACTAATTTTTTCCACCTGTGTGTTAAGGACTTACTTTCTCATCTTTAAACAAGAATGTGGTGTTCAGGGGGAATCTTACCCTGGTTTACCCTAATCAGTAGCCCCACAGCAAATTGACTCCCACTGTTCTCCTGTTTGAACCAGGTTCAGCACATCGCTGCCAGAATGGATCACTTAAATGCAGGACCTCATCAAAGTATTTTTTCTTCAGGTGTAACTGATAAAGGCGTATTTACAGCATGGGAATACATCTGTATTAATATGTTTGATTTGCCAGTAGCTACTGGTAACTTTTATGGTGTTATGTCCTCCTGCATGTTGCTCAATGCCTTAGCTTAGGTCGTGAATCATTCATCACACCTTAAATGTCAATGCCAGTCTGTGAGCATTTGTTTTTGTTGGCTAGTTTAAGCGATGACTGGATCTAGTCCTCAAAAAATGTTGATGAATTTCAGACAGCAAATGTCAACAATAAATATTCTACTTACTCACATGCATTGAGCAACATGCACGGAAACGTTTCCCCTTAAAAGTTGCCGGTAGTCTTTCAGCGACACAGTGAGTATTCTGTTTCCTCACTTTGAGAAAAAAAAAAGAAAGAAAGAAAGTCAGACTGCTGTGATGTTGCACTCCAGCAGCACTACACTGATGGCTAACTTAAATACTGTGTTTTTTGCTGTAACTTTGTTACCCACTGCCTCTTCACACCCTATGATCTCTCTCTTTATTATTAACACATATCATATGAAAGTGAATAATACTGTCATGTTACAGTCCATACAACTCTGAAACGAAGAAACTATTGAGATAAAACATATGTTCTCAAGTAAACTCAACAGTTACCACATACCACAAAAGCCAAAGCTCTGTCCTGCCCAGTTTAACCAGAATTAGTTGTCTGCTCTTTTACATTCATTGCATTGCCACCTCTCACTAAAATCATCAAACAGTAAAACAAACAAACAAAAAAAACATGGTAGACATGTTTTGACATGTAAATAAACATCAAGTATCAACAGCTTCACAGAATGGGTCGTCGAACTGAATATAATGCAGGATGCTGATAAATGCTCACCTTGTGGGGCAAAAAACATGGCCTCCTGCAAACCATTAGACTGCTGTGTCCTGTGAGGGACAAACAGTGTGGATTGCCAAGTTTCCTGTGAAATAGACAGCACAATAGGGCCATCTAGTGACTTAAACTAGTAACTGCCTTACAACAACATTTAATAGTTTCAAGCCCCGCAGCACATGTGATTCATGTTGCCCTGCTACAAGAGAAAATGAGGTCAATCAGTTTCTTTACAGCATCACTTTGATCAGTTGCTGTTTAACTGGGTCCATTTTGTTGCTTGTTGCCAAGTAACATGCATGTTTCCTCTACCAACATGTAGCTCAGTGTCATTTCACTGACTGGTCAAAAACTAGAAAAACTGGTTAAACTGTTTTATTTTTAATTTGTTGGGGATTACAAAAGATAAGTAAATAAAATAGATGAATCCTGCCTTCGCCCCAAGACAGC